TGTTTTTGATCCTCTCCCAGACTCTTGTGGATTCTTGCTACCACGTGTAGTGTGTATCTATGTGTGGACATGTGTCTTAGGGTTTCTATTGCTGTAAAGAGGCACCACAGCCATGGCAACTCTTATAAAGGAAAACATTTAATTGGGACTGGCTTACAGTTTCAGCATATTAATTGATTGTCATCATGGTGAGAAGCATGATGGCGTGTAGGCAGACATGGTTCTGGAAAAGCTGAAATTTTTACATCTTGATCTACATGGAGCAGGAGACTGTGTGCCATGCTGGGTGTAGCTTGATCATATGAGACCTCAAAGCCCACCCCCCAGTGACATACTTCCTCCAACAAAACCACACACCTTCTAGTAGTGCCACTCCCTATGTGCCAAGCATTCAAACATATGGGCCTATGGGGGTCATACCTATTCAAACCACCACAGAATGCGTGCCACAGTACTACAGAGTTGGTCATCTCCTTCTACCATGTGGGGGTCTGAGAAACAAACTGAGGATGCCTGACTTGAAGGCAGGTACTTTTACCCTCTGAGTCATCTCACTGGCCCAGCTTATATTTCTTTATGGAAGGAATCAATCACATCTTTGATCTCATTAAAATTTGTTGACATTGACTTCTAACATCTTAATGTAGCTGATAATTTAGTGGACAAAAATATTGTCCTTCCTTGCACATCATTTTCTTCCTGAGCTGCATGCATTTCCAGCATGCACTTGCATTACCTCTTGCTACTTAAGGGAGCATGTTAGCGACATCTTAGCTTTATAATAAGATTTTAAGTTAAGTTTATTGCCCTTGAGCCATGAGCTTAAATAACCTCCTCCATCTATGCCTTGCCTCCTAATTGCATTTCTATTGTTTACTGACAAAAATACTTCACAAATTCTCAGATGTGCCCATCTTGTCTTTCAAGTTTTCTTCCATTGTTTTCTATTCAAGAATTCCTTGCCAGTTCTGAAATAACATAATTGCTGTCTTTTCCTATGCAGATGACAAAGAAAGTATAGATGACTATTTAATTGGTCCAAAGATGGCTCTTTGAATATGGACTTAGTCTCCTCATTCTTTCTTTCATCTCCTGGGCAGTTTCAGTGATGTTGTGAGTGTGCAGGTGCACTGTGTGACTGTGACTGTGACTGTGACTGTGACTGTGACTGTGACTGTTCAGCGTCACTTTGGGAAGTAGACTTCCTCTGCTGTCCCTCTGAACACACACATGTGAACGGCTGCCAAGGGGTAATGCATTTCAACATCGGCTTTCTTCTCTTCGGCCTCATTTTCATATTTCTACCCTGGTATTGCTCAACTTTTTTTTTCTTCTGAATCAAATTCTTTTTTTTTTTTTTCTAAACTACTGATTTGCAGTAAACCTATGTAATTTCATCTTGCCAAACAGGAGCTTTTCCACATAATTTTATATGTCAAACATGAGCATGGCCAAGAAGGGCAGTCCTTGCAATATTGTTGTGGTGACTTTTAAATTGGTCTCTTGTGCAGTTGGTTAGGAGCTTGGCCACCAATGCTGGTCAGGGACTGTATGCAGAATGTCACGGATCCCTGGGAGGACAACAGTGTTTCAAACTGCACCCTCCTTCCCTTCTGTGCTTGTGGTTACCTTAGAAGTAACCACATCTCATCATGAGTGTTGAGATGACAATATCACAGAATGAACCAGAAGATCAGCCCAACACCAACAAGTTTTGCTCGAACACAGGGCAGGTATTTGTTATCTAAACCCTGGAGATTAAGCTTATTCATGCGTCACAGCCTCCTGTGCATCCCCCTCACCCTAGACATCCAGTCTATCCTGGGTTTTCTCCATCTCATTCACCCTGTACCCATCCCATTGCCAGACCTTACACCTCAGCCTCTCATTTTCTCTTTAGACAGATTTAATTTTCTCCACTTCTGTTGATAAAATCTTAGCCAGTAGATTTGAAATGAGAAGACTTTTGGATCAGTGGAATCACATGAAAGTTTCCCTGGTATCTAAATCCTCAGTCTTCTTCCTTCTTCAGATGTGCTGCCTTGTAGGGACAGCCTCCTACTCTCCTTACTATGGCTATAACACAATACCTGAGGCTGGGTGACTTATAAAGAAAAGTGAGTGAATTAAGACGCAGTCTTTCGATTCTGAGAGAATGTCAAAGGCTTTGTCTTGGCCCTAGTGGGGGACATGGTCTGTGGTTTAATGTGGTAGACAGGAAGAAAGGCAGGACAGCTGTGTGCAGAAGGTATTCATGTGGGAGATGCTTTCTAGTAGGGGCTTCTTAATATCTGCTACCAAGTCTAGACAGAGAAATTCTCTGAACGACATTAACTTGCTCATGAACTGGAACCACTGTGATCCCAAATCTTTTCAATGGGCTCATCTCCTAGAATTGTGTTCTATGGTCCTTGCCTCATCTCTCACTCAGAAAAAAACCCAGGCAGTATCCATTCTCTGACTTAGGACCATGCCATGTGGTAAACACCCTTGAGGCTCCTTAGTGAAGTACTGGAAAGGAAAACAGATATGACTGAGTGAGCTGGGCCTTTCCTAGTGTGTTGTGCATAACTAACTTGAAGACAAAATTAGATGAACTGGTCCACAGTGAGTGTTGCCCTGTCCTGCTAGCCAGCTACCAAATAAGGACAGGAACACTTCTTATTAATTATGAAAGCTTGGCTTATAGCAGACTTGTTCATAATTATCTCTTATAACTTAAATTTACCCTTATTTTTATTAAGCTACCTTCTACCATGTGGCTTTTACCTCTATCCCATTCTGTGAATCCAACTCGTTTTGCATCTCTCTCATGCTTAAATTCATTTCATACTTCCTCTCTCCCTGCCTGAAGTCCTGGTTATGACTCTTACCTAGCTATTGGCTATTATTTATTGAAGCAATCACAGCAATATATCTTCACACAGTGTACAAACATCCCACAACATTGCCCCCTTTTTGTCTAAATAATAAGGAAAGGTTTTAACTCTAACATAATAAAACTATATACAATAAGAACAATTATCAGAGAAGAATTATATTCACAGTGTCTACTCTATAAGTATTGGCAAATGCAGAGAAAGTACTTTATTATCTATCCTATCTTAGTGAGTCCAAAGTTTTATGCCTAAATCATTTTCTATCATTACTTGTATTACCATCCTAAAAATATATTTTCAGATCTTAAAACATCTTCTTAAATAAACAACTTAAATTTTTATGTTTCTCAATCTTATAAACTTTACATCTCTTGTGTAAGTTTCTTTTCTGAATTTGGTAACCAGAAAAATTGTAACTATCGTTATCTGATCTTCAACCTCATCAAAGATCTGAGAAGAATATAATAAATATTATCTGAGTAAACAGGAAGTACAGAGCAAGCAAATTCCAAAACTATAGAAATGACAGAAACAGTTGGCTGCCTGAACAGTCACCGAAGATTCCTCTGAATGTTGGAGTAACCATCTTCAACTTGCAGGTCTAGATTATCTGATAGACTTTTTTTTATGAAGTGGGACATTTTGAAGGATTGTCTTACCTTGTCTTGGCAAAGTTAGGCAGCTACTTTCTTTTGTGACCTACTTGTTTAATTTTGACAGCATACTGTCAGCAATTTCTTTCTTTTTTGCTTCTTCAGCACCCAAGCCTATTTAAACATATTGTTTCTCTTCAGAGGTTTTCCCAGTCTGGACTTGACTTTTTGTTCATCTGTAGCCTCCTCTTACTGCGTGAGTCAAGCCTTTGACCCAGCATGTGGCTCTGGCTGGTGGCTGACTCCATCCTGCTAGAGTCTATGAGGGTCCAGTCTTATGCCTATGTCACCAGTTGGGAACAGTATTTCCCTGACCCAACTCTGGGAATTCGCTGAGCCAGCAATGTTTCTATTTAGCACGCCAGTTGCTCAAGTGCTTGCTGCACAGCAGCTGGGTTTCTGTGAGCTGTAACCACTGGGTTCCTAGGAAGATGTGTCCAGTTGTTTTTCTTTTTTAAGGTTTCTCAGCCTTTATGTGGAAATATAAGTCCAGGGTTGGGTAACACTGCTTTATCTTTGGAACTTATTCTGCAGGAAGAGTAGCTTGTTGAATTGTGGCTTATAATTCGAAAGGAATTCAAGCATGGACAGGGCTAGCTGTAACAAAACCCCTTTCCTTTCTGCTTACATAAGTTTTGTGAATAAGTTTCCTCAGCACCTACATCAATAAACATAAAAACAGGAATTCAGTTGATGCCAAGTCCTCTCTCATCCTTGCAGTAAATACAGTCCAGCAAAGGGAGGGAGCGTTAGGCCTCATCACTCTCCCAAAGACATGTATTTCTAGTAAAACTATGCTTATGACTTATCATTATTCAATAGCATTTCTAACCTGTTTAACCTGTTTTGGTGAATTCTGTTAGTAATTATGATTATAATCCATCCAGAAGCAGTTGGTAGTAAGAGTTTTAGAACCACAGGATTTGTTTTTAATCTTAAATTTTACATGTATTTTTGAAGGAGAGAATTATGCCAGGATAATCAAGAAAAGATCTTGAAACATTAAAACATGTTACATTAGTATAAAAATCTGTGGAGAAAACATAATAGCAATTGAAAGATTAAAAAAAAAACCTTGACTGTCATGGAAGATCTCATTAATGTATTTTTAAAATGAATACTAGAATTTAATGGTGTTTAATAAGTTACTATTTAGATTCAATTGATGATCTTGAAGAGTTTCATTTAAGATGTCATTATTTATAATAAACAGAAATTACATTTTTTCTAGTTATGTAGATTAAGAAATTGTAGGTGTTAACTTAAAAATGTCAATGGGAGCTCCCAGTAGGCTAAAATCCTATCAGAGTAAACTAGAGGGGAACATTTGCAAATCAATGCCCCGGATGTACAGCCCTGGGTATGCAACCCCTTGGCCCTGCTCTCCCTGCCTCCCTGCCTATTGCCAGGCCACTGAGAAGCCAAGGTAGCTTTATTCTGCTGATGGCAAGTCTCACAATCTTTTGCTGTTCAATGCAAGCGTCCTACATCTTCTGCCTTCCTCTACAGCTGGCACAAGTCATGTTTTCTCTCGATCATGCTGTTCACCCAGCTTCCTGGTCCTGAAACAAACCCAGAATGCATGCCCTAGTGCCCACGCTCTTACTGAGTCCTTCTGTCCTGCCATCCAGGTGTTAATGCTTCATAGAGGCTTTTGCCATAACCCTGCTTGAATTTATTCTTATCTATTCCCTTCCCTTCCCTGCTTTAGTTCCTGCATGGTATTTGATGGATTATTGGTTAAGAGCATTTGCTGTTCTTCCAGAGAACCTGAGTTTGTTCCTAGCACCTATAGTTGGGCACCTCCCAACCCTTGATAGCTCCAGCTCCTGGGAATCCGATGTCTCTGACTGTCCCAGGCATCGCCATCATGCACATACCCACATGCAAACACACACACACGTGCACATACACATGCATGTGCGCGCGCATGCACACACACACACACACCTATACATAATTTAAAAAAATAAAATATTTGGTAAAGAATGAATTATAAGGAGCGGCACTATAACATGTTCCTGTAACCCCAGCTACTTGGGAAGCTGAGGCAGGAGGATTGATTAAACCATCGTTCTCAGCTTGGGCAACATACACAACCCTACTCTAAAACAAAAACTGCAAGTAATTGGTTATGTATCCATAAATAAGGCAATTATTCCTTCAAAAATATATTACATTATATTATATAATAATATATACTCTTTAAAGTCAAGTAAAATTTGTCAAAAAAGTAAAAGTTAAGCACATAATATTTAGTGGATAAGGATAGTAAACATATTTGTTTTTACATATCTATCTAAATATTGCCACAAAGGAAGACATTAAGTATAGTCCAGCAAGGAATCAGAATTCTGTGGGCTTGAGTTCTTTTGTGTTATTGTTATCAAAGTAATACTTACAGAGGAATTCATAAGTTTGAGAAGGATGGAGAAAGCAAAGAGGATTCTATGTAGGGAGGGGATAGCTTGGGAAATATCATGATAGGTAGCGTTCTAGCAGGAATGGCACCCTGTGCCCAGGAAGGGCATCATGCCATGATGGGCTAGGCAATGGCAGTGACCATATTTTCTGTCTCTACAGTGGAGAGGGTCTAAAGTGTGACTCTCTCTTTATTAGCCAGTGTTGGGCTGGTTCACAGATGGCATCTCTGAAACTTTTCCACAGCTACCCCTCTGCATGTCACCGTAGGACAGTAGTTCTGAACCTTCCTAATGCTGTGACCTTTTAATACAGTTCCTCATGCTGAGGTGACCCCCAACCATAAACGTATTTCATTGTTACTTCATGACTGTAATTTTGCTACTTTTCGAATTGTAGTCTAAATATCTGATATGTGGGATATCTGATATTAGACCCCTGTTAAAGGGTCTTTCACCCTCCCTCCACGGGGTCACAACCCACAAGCTGAGAGTTGCTGTTTTAGAAACCACTCAGAGACTGGCAACAACAATATTCCTGACTTGAGATCTTCCTATCAACTTTGTTGTTCCCATATGCCATTCTTCCCACTCTCTCACTGAGCTTTCCCAAGCTCATATTCTATAGCAAATGTGCTCAACATGTCTATAACCAGCACATCTCAAACAGTGCTTTCCAGGGGAAACCAAGACAAGACAAAAAACACTCTGTAAGTGTTGACTCATGGAAGGAACCATACATACATAAGGATGTTCAGTGCGCTGTGATACGGTTATTGTCATAGGCCCTAGAGGAGTGCGGTTATAATCCCACAGATTTTCTGTGTTGCACAGAAAAGACAGGCCTCTACGTGATTACGCTCACCAGGGTGGATTCTCAGCTTTTACAAGCAGGATGCTTTTTATGGTCTCTTCCTCAATCCACACATCCTTCCCCTACATTCAATTCACTTATTTGTGGATACGGATGTGGATAAGGCTAGCGTTAACAACCAGATCTCAAGGACTAGTGACAATGGCCTAGTTCAGGATGCCTGGACAGCTGGGTGCCCTGGGGATCCCGAGGCTTTGCCTGGACATGGAAAGGGGCTAACTGTGGAGGATCCCTAGCCTCCACCAGTGAGCCTGTCTGCTGTGTATTTTTTTTAAAAAAAAAAAACTATTGCCTGTGCTTGTGATGAACACCCTCATTAACAGCAGCGTTTGCGATTATTTTTATCAAATCATATCTTTTGGGTTCCCTAAGGATCACCTAGGGCCGGGCCCGTCCTAGAATTTTGCTTCCACCACTGTCATTTTGACATCTCCCCTGGTTCCATATCACCACATGAACTAGGGTTTTTCTGTCGTTCCTAAAACAGGCTACTGAACTTGAAGAATTATAGTATTTGGTCCAAATAACCCAGGAGATGCCACATGCATTTATGCGCTACAAAAACAGACCTGCTTAGAATAGCGTGCTTAGAAATTAGAGGTGGCAGGCATCGAGCAGGTCATTGGCAGCCCTGTACAATTTGGTTAAATGTCTGGTATTTTTGCACAATTCCTTTTCACGTTCTCTATTTTACTAACTATTTCAGTCACACCTATTAGGAAACACAATGCGTAGCTACTGTTCAGACGGTGAGAAGGCCTCTCCCTCTCTGGAGTTTACCCCCATTTCCTACCTCCATCATAGGCCCCAGAGAATTTGCTAAGGCCCCCCTGAGTTATTCTATATGAGTATCAGTAACAGCAATACTACTTGAACACTAACATTTACCCTAGATGTTGCTTCGTCAAATCTGTTTACAATACATCAGAACACCGGAAACTGCATGCTGAAAAACAAAGGAAGGATTGAATAAGATTCTACCCATCCCTGACTCATAACCCTGGACCCTCAAGAGCAATGACGTAGCTGCAAGTTTAACATTTCAAAATAACGTCCATAGCGAGGATGCAAATGCAAGGAAAGTCAGCACAGAACTGCACGCCGCATTCAGCCCTTGTCCTCACTCATCTTTGAAAGTCTCTAGACCACAGCTAACGATAGTGTGGAACACCGAGCCTGGGAGTGCTTTTAATTTTGAAATTTCTATTGATTAGATGTTTATCTGTAAAGAACAGCTCTGTCCTTATCAATAAAGGAATATTTATTTTACTATGATGCACACCTCACCATCACCTCTTTGAGAGGGTATTACGATGTATCCTCAGACAAGTCCAGGATTACAAGTGTATGCCACGTGACCTGCCAATCATCTCCCGCTACCTGACCCCCCTGCTCTTCTTCAAAATCTGGTAAAGAGGCTTAACTTCCATCTCATTCACTGAGAGACAACCACTGAGGTATGAATTTTCCAAATGTGTGCTTGCTTTCCTGCTCACCCCAGCGTGGGTTAAACAACTCCTTTGAGTTTCTCAACATTGAATTGCAAAGGGTCTTGCCTGCACCAGAACTGGCGAAAGCACCCTCTAGCTTCCTTAATCCTGCCAGGTGTGTGTTCTGACTCACTCAAGCCTTGGCAGGCTTCTGTTCATTTCCCCGGGTCAGGTATGCCACTTGCTCACCAAGTTCCCCACATACTGGATTATGGTTCCTAAGCCACTTGCGCACGTAATTCCTCACTTCTGGGGCGAAAATGACAGTTTCCCCAGTAGAATTGCCCCTTGTGATTTCATGATCCGTCTGCTTCACCTAAGTTCTGTTTATATCCCTGCAAACAAAGCCACAGAAAGCCACAGAGAAGCTAGGGCTGTGAACTAGCATTGTTTCCTGGAGGTACCGGCTCAGGGTAATGTAACTCTTTCCCATCACCCTTCACGGGCTTTCAAAGCCTAATTTATTATAGGTGTTGTTGAAGGTCACTGAACTAGAAAAACAAACCATGCCACCTTGACGCATTCCTAATTGCAGATGGCAGTATGTGAGGGACAATGGTTTGGGGACCCTCGACATTTCTTTGAACCCCAATCAGGAAGTGGGTTGTTTCTTCTTGGCCATCCTAGGAAAAGATTACTGACAATCTAGAAACTGCTATTAGCTTTCTTGACTGTCCTGAACTCATACAAAACCATTTCTCAAGCGTCACCTTTTCCAGCAAAAGTTTAGCAGATGACAGTGCTTTGTAAGAGCAAACAGCACAGATTTGGTGGAGAAGAATGAGCTGTCCTGAGATCACATTCCAGCTTGCATGACGCCAGCCCTAGGCAGCAAGGATGGGCAGAAGGTAGCGGCTGGAGTAGATCAGACGGGTTCCACTCTGCACAGCAGCCTGCAAATGAATATTTCATTCTTCTCAATGAGCAACTTAAGGGATCAGCAACCTGTGTGTGTGTGTGTGTGTGTGTGTGTTTCCCAAAGGGTTCTGGGGGTTGAACTGTGGGACCTTGAGCTTGCTTGCCACTGAACTGTAACCCCAGCTGTTCTGAAAATTTTAAATGTAACCAGATAAAGCAAACAAACCATGTTGAACTCTTTCTGGTACAATCCTTAGTGAGATGAGTTTAAAGGTATATTAGTTTTACATGTGTTCGGTTAAACATCACGGCTAAGCAAGAAAGAGGCAAAGAGGACAGACAGCTTCATGAATTCCCACTTAGAGGAGATGCAGAGAATCCAGAAGTCCTGGCCTAATCTGCAAGTACCTGGCCTAGCCTCGCTGGGCATTTGCTGAGGAAACAGACATTTGTATTGAACAGGGTGACATCGCAAAGAATTTGCTGCTGTCATTTGAACTGGCTGATCCCTAGGGTGATGCTTTCTTGGATTCAAATCCAACTTGGTGAAGGAAAATGACTACACCAAAGTGCAATCAAATGGTTGGAAATAAAAGTGGCTCTGAGGAGGGGTCTGTGCCGATGGCATGTGGGCCATCTTGTCCTTGTGCCAAGCCCCCATCTCCATGGAACACACCATCCTTGCCAAAATGGCCAAGGTACTAGAAAATGCTTTAAAAGCATTATATTTTTTAACAATGTCGAGCAGCAAAAATGGTTTGTGTTTAACACCATCTGTATAAAGTCTCTTTTTATTTAGGAAAATCTATTTTAAATTAAATATCATAAGCCCACAAGCCATAGCAAACAATATTTTGAGCATATGCTCTCAATTAATATGCCAAACATTGCAACCTCTATTTTCTTCACAGAAAGGCCACTCCACCCTTGATGGGGGTATGGCAAGCCGGAGGGTGTGGGAGGGGAGGAATTTTCAATAAGGCCATGAGGACAGAAAGATGGCAGGAAACCAAACACTGGGTTTCTCCATTTCTCCTCTCGCATGTTATCTCTACACAAATCTGCTTTCACCTAAGAACTTCCCTCCATTCCACATCCCCCCTCGCCTAGACCTCCATACCTCAGGGTCTTAGCCACTGACCACACCTCACTGTCTGACCACACCTCACTGTCTTCAGCAAGCTTCGGCGGATCCTCGATCTTCTGACGTCCCACCTTCACGGTGATGTGGACTGGAAGCTGGAGCTTCATTTCAAGAGCTGGGCAGAAATGGAAGTTAGAGGTGATGCCCACTGTCTGTCCCTGAAAGCATCCCCGTTCTTCTCCAAGCTCCTCCTGCCACTGCCCTTGATGGGCATCAGTACAGCACAGATGGCCTGGGCATCTACACCCCAGGGGATCACAACTTCAGCAAGCTGTTGCTATGCATTGAAGCATTAAGGAGGATTCTGTAGGTGTGCCTGTTTGCCTTTTGTCTTTCTGAAAGGAGATGGAAGGTTGAGAATAGGTTGTATGGGCACCTCCTAACCTGGGAGAGTGAACATTTGATCCTTTATAAGATCCGAAGGTGTGGCTACAATGGTGGCAGGGTCAGAGGCACTAAAGCTTGCTACAGGCTGTGGAGTGACTTTTCACAGAGACCCAAAACACCTCTCAGCAAAGAATCTTAACTTCGTTTGTTCTTGCCCTTCCCTTCCTGTAATTTCTTCTCTGTTGTTCTTTCTGTCCTTCCTTCCTGCCTTCCTTTCTTCCTGCCTTTCTTTTTCTTCTTTCCTTCCTTCTTTTCTTTCTTACTTCCTTTTCCTCCCTCCCTTCCTTCTTTTCTTCCTTTCTTCCCCTTTTTTCCTTCTTTCTTTCCTTCCTTTCTTTCTTCCCTCCCTCTTCCTCCTTCCCTTCCTCCCTTCCTCCCTCCCTTCCTTCCTCCCTTCCCATCATTTCTACCCATTTTAGGGTTTCCCTAGCTTTTTACTTTCTTCTTTCCCTTTATCCTGGGGAGTCTTTGTATATGCCACCTTGGTTACTGTTGTCATTATTCTTAATAGGATTACTTGTGACCAGATGCCTAACAGGTGCTGTCCAATTTACAAGCATTGTCTTGAAATCCCAGGATGAAGCTGAGCACTAATTAGCACCTCAATGGATTCTGAGGGAGGAACATCTATGATTCTAAAGTGGATGAGCTTTCTCCTTTGTCTCTAGGACTGCCATTTGGTCTCTGTCTTAGTTAGCTTTCTATTGATGTGGTAAATTACTCAGACCAAAACCAACATGGGAGAGGAAAGTGCTTATTTGGCTTATAGATAACAGCCTATCATCAAAACCAAAGCAGGAGTTTGAAGCAGGACCATGAGAAGTACTGCTTCCTGGTTTGTTCAGCTCCTTCCCTTCCTTCTTTCCTTCCTTCCTTCCTTCCTTCCTTCCTTCCTTCCTTCCTTCCTTCCTTCCTTCCTTTCTCCTCCTCCTCCTCTTCCTTCCTCTCTCTCTCTCTCTCTCTCTCTCTCTCTCTCTCTCTCTCTACTCTTTC